ATACAACACTGAAGATAGCAATTCCTGTATTACTTCGAACATAAACACTATATAATTATACAACACTGAAGATAGCAATTCCTGTATTACTGTGAACATAAACACTATATAATTGCACAACATTGAAGTTAGCAATTGTATTATATTCCAGATTTCCTCCTCAAACAATGCTTTAAATATAGTAAACTTGATAAACGGATTTATCAAGTTTACTTTTAATTACGACAGAGTACTTCCTTTCATCGTATTATAATGCTTTAAACAATAAATTCTATCTATTGTCACCAGAGATCAGGGCCCGAATTTTCTAGAACAACTAGATATGCTACAAATCACGTCATCTAGAATGTTTGAGAAATGGTCCAGCATGGCCAGGTGGTTAGGGGGCGCTCGACTCGCGATCTGAAGGTCGCGGGTTCGAATGCCCGTCCCACCAAACATGCTCGCCCTTTCAGCCGTGGGTGCGTTATAACGTGACGGTCAATCCCACTATTCGTTGGTAAAAGAGTAGCCCAAGAGTTGGCGGTGGGTGGTGATGACTAGCTGCTTTTCCTCTAGTTTTTCACTGTTAAATTAGGGACGGCTAGCGCAGATAGCCCTCGTGTAACTTTGCACGAAATTCAAAAGAAACAAACGAGGTAAAAATATTCACAGAAGATATCTGGAATTTGTTTTTGATATCTTAATCACTCATTAAAGTAGAATATCCTAGTCTCAGTACTTAAATCTTGATATATGTTGCTTTTGTTTAAATGTTCGTTGCTTTGACAGTTATCATACAAAAAAAAGTGTTCTAACCTTTTTTTTTTCTTTTTAGCTGGAAAAAACAACTTTCACTGTTTTTACATCGACTATTTTCCTACAGAAGATTATAGCCCGGATCCTAACGACTCAACAATGGCTATTCCATGTAAGATATTGAGTCTTAATGTCTGTCTTATTTATGGAATTTGATAAGATTCAAAGTAACGAATACGGAGTTATTTTCCTCATTATCATGATTAAGATTCTGTCAGATATTCAGATCAGGTTCTACTGTTGAGTGTACTATGTATTCGTCAAGTTATACTGTTGTTCAAATATGTTTGATTTGTTTGTTTTGATGAATTAAAGGTTCTTCTTCACAAAAAAAAAGGTTTAATTCAAATACTAAGGTTTAATTGTGGAATGTGTATATGGTCTGCCTGAGCTAGAAGGCTACAATATTTTATTAAAGGGATCATCTCTGAATCACATTCTACTGTTTTAATAATGAATAATTCTAAGCCATTATTGTTGTTTTGCTTAAATCGCTTGTTAAAAAGGTATTAGTTTTAATAAACTTGTTAGAAAAACGCAGATGGATAAACAGAAACGCTTTCAGCTAGTCAGTGCAGTCAATCAGCCAGCTGACTTGATAGAAAGATAGACAGATAGGTAATTGGATAAAATATTTGTTCATTCTGATTCGATACAGAATGGAAATTATAAATTAGAGCATAAACAATCATAAGGAAGAATAAAAAACTAAAAAAGAAAATTCAATTGAATATTCCAACCTTTGATTGTTTTATTGTGGGTTTGTAGCTATGCACAAAGCTACACTATTGGCTAGTTGTGCTCTGCCCATCACGGGTATCGAAACCCAGTTTCTATCGGTATTAATCCGCAGACATACTGCTGTGCCACTGAGGGGGGCTACACTTTTGTTAGATTGTTTGTTTGTTTTGTTGTTAAACACAAAGCTCAAAAATGGGCTATTTGTGCTGTGCCCATCACGGGTACCAAAACTCGGTTTTAAGAGTTATTTTCTTTCATCTGAGCCACTGCAGTGTAAATTGTTTGAAGTTTCAGGGTGGAGAAGTTGATTTTTTTTGTTTTTTTATATTTCATTCGGTACGGAGAACGAAAACGCTTGTTGTTTATGAGAATCCTTAAATTCAAGTTTTAAAGCTTTCGAAAGGAACGGCGACGTTTCTGAGATAACAAAAAATAAACGTTGACAAAGATATCGAGTCTAAGTTGTTATTAATAACAGTTATTATAAGACAACTTGTAGTCCTGAAATATATATATATATATTGTCCAAAACATCACGTAGGAAAATTAAAAAAAAATCTAAGGAACATATCCATGAACCAGGCAAAGAAAAAACGAATGTTCCCTCTGTATAAATTATTTTCATGAGAAAATACGTTAGCAAGAACAAGAACGAGATTGTTAGTTTGTTCCCAATATCGTTATTCACTAGTCAAGTAGAAAACAAAATTTGATTTGTTGGAGTTTTCAGGGGATACCAGCCCCCTCTTAAACATTTAATAAATATATTCCTCGCTCAACAGTATACTTAAAATGATATTTCAAAGCGCCCCCCCCCCAGTGGCACAGCGGTATATCTGCGGACTTAAAACGCTAGAAACCGGGTTTCGATACCCGTGGTGGGCAGAGCACATATAGCCCATTGTGTAGCTTTGTGCTTAATTCCAAACAAACAAACAATTCAAAGCAAATATTAAATTGTTTACAGTGTCTTTTACAATTCTGAGACACAAGATGGCGGACTCTGTTTGATGAACATCTGTATTCTGTCATTAGTGATTAACATTTTTTCTCTATTGTAACAATGATGTTAGACGAAATTCTATTATTTTACAAAACGTACATACTGATGTACTTCGTGTGTAGCCCACATGTTTTGTACCAGATTTTTGGGCACTGTATTTCTTTGATAAATTGTTTGGTTTGTTCGGAATTTCGCGCAAAGCTATCTGCGCTAGCCGTCCTTAATTTAACAGTGAAAAACTAGAGGAAAAGCAGCTAGTCATCACCACCCACCGCCAACTTATAGGCTACTCTTTTACCAACGAATATAGGGATTGACCGTCACATTGTAACGCCCCCACGGCTGAAAGGGCGAGCATGTTTGGTGGGACGGGGAGTCGAATCCGCGACCCTCAGATTGCGAGTCGAGCGCCCCCTAACCACCTGGCCATGCCGGGGCCCGTTTAATAAATGAAATTCGTTAACCTGACAAGATTATTTTTTTGAAGGACATTAACTGCTACTGTTCATGGAGCTTATATAAATCCAACACATTAGAAACAATTAAAAATTCAGCAATTCATTGATTCTTGATAAGAAACTAATGTAATTTTATTATAAAAAAAAAGATGTTTCCGTTTATTTATGTTTATTCTATATATTAATAAAACGGACAATGTAAGGAAGTATTACCATTTTAGGATATTCCTCCTTCTCCATGCCCGACAGTTTTACGGTTGAAAGCTCGCTTTAAAATAGATCTATGAAGATCCAAATCCTTATCATATTTTTGAAAACATTCACCCTAAGTGGGATTTTGAAATCGTAGAAAGGTAAAACTTATTTATTTCCTGTTGGCTTTTACGTTAAACAAATGGGAGCAAATTGTTTCTAAAAAGAGATTGGTTGGTTGTTATTAAGTACAAAGCTACATAATGCACTATCTTTGCTCTGCCAACCACGGGTATCGGAACCTGATTTTTAGCGTCGTAAGCCTGCAGACTTACCTCTGAACTAGGAGGTTCTAAATGAGATTTGGTAGTTGTAACAAAATTTAATCTGTACCATAGAAAGATTTGATTGTGTAACGAGGTACAAAAATCGCTTCGAAGCAACAGCAAAATTACTTAAGTTGCTAAACCCTATTTGGCAGTAA